TACGAACTTTAAAGGTTCGCCTTATCCGTAAGATAAAGATAAAAGTACCGATGGTTGGAATCCCCACGAACTGTGGATATTCTTCTTGCTTTGGTCTTTAAATACGAATGTTTAATCTTCAAGCATAAAATATTTACATATATTCAATATACATATAAAAAAAATATATATATATACATTCTATATTAAAAGTTTAAATATTCGTACTTAAAAACAACAGAAGAATGCCAAGACTTAGATGCATGTCCAGGCATTGGTACCTTTACTTTACTATTGAATTTGGAATGTATTCCCCGGTCGAGAAATTTCGCCGCGTGTAAATGTAAATTTATCTACGAGAAGAAATTTATTTTCCGCGAAAGAGGACACGCTGTACATTGACCGACAGGATAGCAGCCAGAGCGTGCGATGTAATTAGGTTACTTGTGTTTTGTAACCGTACGTGTTTGTTTCTAAACATTTACGTGGAGTAATCACAGTGACGGATTATCGCTTGACATTTTGTTATTGCTCCTGTAAATAAAGGGCAAATAATAAATCAATAATGCGCATATAATTAGAGAATCCCGATAACATTATAACGTTGCGTGTTAAAGGCTGCCCTGCCGGTCGGTGGGCAACTTTCTCGCATTTCGTAGATGTTGGTATTCCTCTCCGGATGATTGGTACTGTTCTATCGTAAATCTACGATACATATCGATAAGGGAAATCCAGCCACCACTGCACCGCAAAAACCATTGCAAATCTCGTTAACGATTCGATATTGACGCAAGACCGTGCAGTTAAATCTCGTTGCGCGTACGTAGAGCTCGTGATGGTTCGAGAACGAAGGCTCTAATTGTCTGGAAACAACTCCCCCGCAACGCGGCTTGAATGCCGATTTGCTTAGGAATATCCAACGGGAATTTATTTCAGCGTGTCGGCATTAACGGGCGCATCCTGCGTGCAACAGGTGATTACATGCGTTCGGCAAATATCGTCCAATTAAACGTCACCGTATACCACCTCTCGGCTCTCGACACGATGACACAATTTTGATTACGCAGCGCGATTTCAAACGCTGTTCGGCGTCCAAACGCTTCCGATAAGCAGCGATATCAAACGTTACGACCGATTTGCGCTATGGTACTTAACGGTAACAACCGAACCGAGTGAAACGGATAAATTACTTTTAATTATTTATATTTACCGACACGAAATAATATGCAATAATATAAAGGAACGATAAGAGGACAATATACACATGTAACAATCGTACACACACATATTAATTAGAATGACGTGCGAATAGCGTTGACGCTTCGAGTCGATGCATTAGTACACACGTGAAAAACTTGCTTACGCTGTGTACATCGGTTTAATTAACGTTAAAATACAGCCGTGAAATTTTACGGAAGAAACAGATCACGGCCGGTTGAATCTTATTTTAACGCCTCTCTGTCAAGAGGATCCGGATAGAGCACCGGGAGCAATTTAATCCAACTTTCATGAACTCGAACGTGTTTGAACGAAAATATATTTGATGTGCATATAAAGGAGCAATCGCTCGGTAAATTTCACATTTGCATTCGCGACTCTTATATATTTTTGCATTTAACTTTTAGATTTTAATACGGAGTCCAATTTCGAGTCAAATACAATCCGAGCGTGAATATGAATTCGCCCGCGCCGCTGTCACTCACCGGCGTAGATCGTGGTGCAATCGGGACGCTATTAAAATGGCCCGAGATAGCTCGAGAACGTGAATGGAACTTTTCTTCGAATGCTCACCGCGATCCTCAGCCACGTATTTTCCGACTTGCATTTTCGACAGCTCGACGTTCGACGTCACCATCCATCAAAATCGCAAGTAATCGAAGCCCTAAAGTGTAAAATAACACGAGCCCGGTTTTTTTTTGACACTGCAGTTATTGATGTCACTGCATTCGTCTCAACCGAAGCTATTGATGTGCACGGGAGAGAGAAGTGCCATTTGTAAAAGCTTTTTTTTTTACCTTGGTAATACCAAAGGAATAAAATCCCAATAAACGCACGTACAAAGAGGCTTTGTTATTTCCGCAGTTAGTGGACCAATACCGTCGCTGTTGCACACTTTACGACTTAAAAAGAACTCTTTTAAACGTTTCTCGAGAAAAGTCTCTCTCTTTCCCTGATATCTCTTCGCAAAACATTGTAATTGGCGAGCACTCCCAACGCTACTACGAGGCGTTGAAAAACGCAGGCGGCTTCGCTTTTAATCCTCTTCGGAGGGAACGGTAAGTAGATAAACGTTGCCGTTGGCCGGCCTCGCAATACAAGGGGTGGGTCGGAATCACGCGTGCCCGAGCTGTTGGGGTAGGCATCAAGGGAAGTATTTCTTAATTAGTGACGAGCCTCGAACGAAGCTATCTCGTGGTGTCTTGAGGTGAATTGAGCCGCTCCCTCAGAACCGTGCCCCTCACGGCTCGCTCGTAGATCATGATTTTCCCTAAGTGCCTTTAAGTTCCGTGTCGACGTCGACGCCGATAAATGATCGTAAACGGCTCGCGATATAAGCCAGTGCAACGACGTAAATTGACATGTTCTCGAGAAAGCCTCTTGTAAATGTATATGCATATATGCATATACATAAATAATGCGCGATCACGCGCAAGCTTAATATCGGGGACCACAGTGAAGCATACTTAAAAGTATCTAACGCGCGCATTCATCGAAATTACGCGAACTTACATTCGTCTTTCGAACGAAGGTGAAAAAAATTAAGTTTCAACGGAGATCGCCGAACTTAAGATAATTATTCTCACAAGTCTCCTATTAAGACAGTACGTTCTTAAAAGGAGTTCTTTCCTTTTGTCGATGACTTTTAGATAAAAAAAGCAGGATGAAAAAGGAATGGTAATGAGAGGGTCTTTTATTGGTCTTTCTCTTTCGTGTCTGTTTGAAAAATATAGCTAATAAGAGTCAACAACACTTCGAGAAATGTTTTATGTGAATCGCGAGAATTCAAATGAGAGAGAATAGTGCACTCTTGGGGTCGTTGGATCACGTGCTGGAATTTTTGAACTCCCAAGCATAGCTCTTTGACGCGCAGTCCTACGAGCCTCGCGTTTTCCGTTTTTATCTTAAATACGCATTATTTATGTTTGAGGATGAGCTTCAACAAGTATGCGAGCGAAAATATTTTCATGAATTTTATTTCACCCCGGACAGTCCTTGACTTCGCTTCTACCGCGAGTGTTTGCATTCGTTGCATTTTAATGTCACTGTGAATCTCGATGTAAACGCGAGATTGAGGCCGCCGATATCGACCACAATTTTTACCTGAATGTAAATACATATTTAGATCCACGAGTTCGCCAAGCGGAAATATCGGTCGTTCTGACGATTGTATATTATATACAGAGCGTCTTTACACCATCGATATCCTATTAACAAGTACTTTGATAAGTTGAGCGCCGATCTTTGTTTAGCAAAATACGACGGAAGATCCGCGTTTTACATTCTTTTATTTTTAATCAATAAAACTATAATAATTTAGATGAGTTCTATCTTCAGTAATATGGAGATTGTTCGATAATGGTCGTATATGTAGGTATTTTTGCGATCAAGAAGAATCGATATATTTCTTTTCTTTTTTGGAAGAAGTGTCAAAGAGAAAGAACAGATTTTTCTTGACTACACATACACTCTGTGGTTACTGAAAAATGAATCTTGCCGTATTTCCATCGCCACGTATAAACACAGAAATCATTTTCGTGTGTCTACAGGTATGAAATTGGAAACCGCCGAGGCTAAACCGGTTTCAGTGTGCGATACAAACGTTATTAGTACAACGGTAAGAATAAATATTACGTGATTTTTCGTTTTCGCACATTTCGGCTTCGCTTGCCGCAGATCGGCCTGTTTATTGGATTTATTTTCAGAGGATACGCTCGGACGATTGCATGCCAATTTTGCATATTTCCAGCCGCAGGCTATTGTCCGACGATGACGATGAAACGAGAGGCTCGTTTTTCCGTTTCTCATTGCGAACTGACATGCGATCAATGGCGAATAACGATTTCGGGTGAGCGGAGACATGCGATCCGACCTTCATCGAACAGCATCAAATTGACCGCAGAATATATACGTGATGCAATCTAACAAACTCATATTTATCTGCCGTTTCCTTTTTATTTAGTACAAAGTTAGATATAGTTTATGAACGAAGAAGAGGAAGTTAATTATGCATCATACATTTTTTCCTCTTCGAATATCTCGAAAAAAAGTTTTGCAATTATCATTAAATGTAATATATTGAGAAGGGGAAATATTCTATATCTCATTTTCGGCAAAAATATGTTTTAATGATTGATAATAATATCTAAACTAATGTCAATTAATACGTTTGATCTGCTGTTGGTAGTCAATATGTAAAAGACACCGAGAGTCAATTGCCTCCGTGGCGCAATCGGCTAGCGCGTTCGGCTGTTAACCGAAAGGTTGGTGGTTCGAGCCCACCCGGGGGCGTTCCTATATTTTTTACATTTTCTCTTGCAACTGTGTAACGTCTGGCAATATCTCAATATTTATTTGTTAAAAATAATTCTACATATTGTTTAAGAAAATATTAAAAAAAGATACATGATATCTTAATTAACATTGTTTGTAAAATAAAAAATGAATTAAAAAACTTTTTTTTTCGTTTAAGAAAAATAAGAGAAAGCAAAAAAAAATAAAATGTTAAATTAATGTTTGCGCAAAATACTTAAAAAAGATCGTTACGTACACGTATATCAGATGATGTAATCGTCTCCTCATTGCTCGTCTATTTCCAAAATATCTTTCACTAAAGAGATGCGATGATTCGGTAGAGTCAGCGCATCGCAAGAGCTCATGAAATATTTACGCGAGCGGATCGACTTTTCCAGAAGCTGTCTATCCGTGACTGTATCGCGAGCACATGCGGCACTCACACAATTATATGCGGAACCAGATGCAGAATTCTATTCTAGCAGCATAGTTAGTTCCTTCACCAGTAGATGGCTCAACATGGGTATGGTAAACTCGGAAGAAAATTGCTCACGGTGGGTTACATAGAGGGCCCGGAAAGACTGGTGAATTCGGTCATCAGTAAGGATATTACTGATCGATATAGCAAGTGATGATTGCTGGAGATGATCACTGATTAAACCTCCGCCCTGCTTCCACACACATAACTATCGCATGTGGTTGTCAGGAAAATCTGATGCTACCAATGACCCAATCTTTTTGAAATCCTCTATCTTGTGGTATAATTTTTCATTTATATTATTTTTATTAACAATAAAAGTCGTCTCTTCTGTATCATACTTGAATTTTAATAGTCGCGTTATAATGACAATCGTCTACGATGTCAACTCAGGAAAAAGAAGTCTTTGAGAAATTTGAAATCGAGAAGCAGAGAAATTTGAAATCGAGAAACCCCATGTCTCGTAGGTTGTTGCGAAAGAATATTATATGTGTGTCTTATTTAGAAAGAAAGAGAGAGAGAAAAATTTATAAGTATTATACATTACGTAAATACTTTCTGTGTTTGTATGAGATACGTAAGCAAATACCGATAGGATAAGTCGAATAAATGCAGCAATTAATATACGAGGCAAAAATTACATTTTTATTTACAGTGTTCATTAGACTGTCATTAACACGTGAATTCACGCAACCACCGTGTGAACAATTGCATCCGCTGTGTTTTTCGCAACTTTTAACCAGCTTCAGATTTCAATATTTTTTTTTCATAATATGAGGGAGAATGCGTTCGACAGATGCAAAATCGCGTTACCTACCGTGAAACGCAATGCCACGCAGAGTTGCATGTCGAACGGCTAACCGAAACTCATTAGAGGTCAGCGTCGCGTGCGTCACGTGTTGTCCGGAACACACGCGACATGTTCGACGCTTATCACGTAGGAACGGAAAGCGAATTGAGCGGGGACTAGAGACAATGGCGAAAGTTTCATGCATCACTCTCATCTACAGACGGAAGTTAAAGAGGTCAGAGGAGGGACTCTTAATGCCTGTGAAAACACGCGGGATAGTCGGCCGGACAGTTGCGTGCGCAACGCCGATAACGCGGCATCAAGTGCAATCAAATTTTACGCTTGCGGTTCCGCCGCGGGCTGCGTATCCAAATATTGAAATTCCGCGCGGCAGCGGTTTTATTTTCATCCGACGTTTTCCGAGAGCCGTTCCCGAGCGCCGGAGCACTTTTATACTTCCTGACGTGTAACATCAAATGCGACTATGGTCGTATCTCAAAGCATAACTGCTGAAACGCAGGCTCGAGGTAAGAACGGAGAACTGAGCACAAAGAGAATATTGTTACGATAAATTTAAGGCAAAACGATACCTCTTTTACGCGTGATGTGAATTTTTCCAGTTGTTAAAAGGTCATCCTACTTTGAAACTTAAACAAAATTGAGATATCTTTTTGCTTCAAGAAATAGTTCGAAGTTTTAAGATCAGCGTGCAAAAAGTCGCAAAAGAATATTCGAAATATTCTTCGAGTTATGGTGTTTGAAGCGGACTACGCGCAGATAGACGCTCAAATAAGCCGAGCGGTACAGCGTTCAACTCCCACAATTGTCTTCCTCAACTCTCGCATCCTTTCAGCACAATGGATAACAACAGACGGGTTTCCCCCTTCCTTCGTGACCTTTAATTTCGAAGGGCCGACCGTTACTTAATTTTCTAATGAATCAAACAAATGTCTATTACGAATTGGCTGTCAAAGTTAAGGATAACCCTTTAGTCCCGCTTCATCTCCCCTTATTTTTCCGGCAATTTTGGTTAGCTTTTAATCCGAGTCGTCGGATAATTTCAGTATAAATTATGTAATTAATCAATCGCAATATGAACGATCGTCTTTCGCGCGGTTACATTTCTTCGATGAGCAATTCTTTTCATCCGGCCCCTGTCGGATTGTCGGGGAAACGAAAAGTCTAGCATTGCAATCGGAACGAGCGCGTATCAACGTGAAGTCTCGATCGTTGGACAAACTTCATTTTGGGATTCCGCGCGTTTGATCTGGCGCCAGTCAAAAGCTCGGGCTGACAAAGGGAATGGCGCACCGGCGTGAAGGGTGAAACGAACGAGAAAACTAATTACCAGTGACGAGAAAGATCGGGGTGATTGCGAAATGAGCGTGGAAGCGCCCCACAATAGAGCGAAGGGAGACCTCGGTGGGAGGAGACGCGCGTGGAAAAAAGGATTAATAAATAAAATATCTAAGGGCGAAACGCAACGTCTCTTTTTCTCGTTCGAAAAAGAACAAAGCATAGTAGGAAATGCGAGAGAAAAAAGCGAGAACGAGCGGCGGTCGTAATTCCATCCACATTTCTCTCTCCGTGCGCCCTCTCCCTTTCTCTCTTGAGACCATAACTCTACCCTCTCGCGAAAATCTTACTTCGCGCGCCATTCGAGCGAAAGTCCGGTTAACTCCGAACGATCTTTCTCCTCGTTCGCCGTTTCGCGCCGCGTTTTCCCGCGGTGGACGCCGTTTGAGTTTCATCTAACGCGCGAATCCCACTTCGCCATGGAATGTTTCGGGAGGAAAGATATACAAACGGAGCGCGAGTTTCCTTTTCTCTCTCTCTCTCTCTCTCTCTCTCTCTCGAGCTTGTTCGGCTGCAAAGTTTGGTTTATATATTATCGCACAAAGACCGCTAATTTTCTCTCCCGCCGTGGAGAGCCGGCCGCGCCCTTTCAACCACTTTCCCACCTTTTTCCCGAACCTTACCTCTTTGCACCACACTCGAATCACCGGAAGCTCCTTTAGCCGCGGCTGAAGCTTACTGATAGGCTTCTCGAACCAGGCTCGATTGCTCCAATCTTCTTTGTCACGATAATGACTTTCCACCTTCGCCTTCTACTCGTCTACGAGCGCTCACCGGCGCCGGGCGACGTGGCACTTCCACCATTCTTTCTGCCTCTCTAGGAATTTTTTAGCACCGACTTCTCGAGTAACCCAATTCCCCTCTCATGAATGGATCTCCACTTCTTCGACTTAGCGCGTCCTCGCTTCAACAAACGGTCCCTGGTTTCAGCCGGTTTGCCGGTGTGAATATTACATGCGTCACGCGAATGCGTCAAGATTGACCGAAGATCGAGGAGACGATCGGTTACGGCAGATTAATGAGCCATGAAACGTAAAAACTCGGACAACTCTCGAACCCCGGGAGGAAAGCAGATTTCTTCGGGACTCCGTCGGTTGCTATATTTAATTATCCCAACCCTCATTAAAAGTCGTAGGATTTATTTACATTAACGACCGTTCGATGAAACTTATTACTCGCGAATTGGGATAATTTAAGTGACGTTCGCATTTACAACTAAACGAGTCTTCTTAAATTCGCAGTTAACGTATTCACATAAACCGAAATGGCTTCAAGCTGACGAGGTGGTTTTCGAGCTGGGTGGAGCTAACTGAAGATGTTGGAGGGTAAAGATTAATAAAATATTTCTAAGTCACGTTCTATACGGGAGTCGCTTAAGATGGGGCAACTTTTCTTCGCCTATGACGATATTACGGTGGCTCTTAACGGCACGGACTTTCGAGGCAGAATTTTTTTGCGAATCGGAGCGTAAAGTGATTTCGTGGGGACATGGTGGAGGGGAGGGGGGAAACTGTTAAGGCTACGGAAGTAAACGTTACGCGAGACGCGAGGCCCTAAAAGGCTAAGGCGGAATTCTTGTGAAGGGTCCCGAGCGCGCTACCGACGCGCTGACAAATTGAGTTTTAGACTCCGCCGGCCCTCCGTGTCCTTCCGTTCCGCTAGATTTTTCCCACGGGTGAATGGAAAAGCTCCTGCTCGATCTCACGGGATATCACGTACGTCCTCCCGTCAGTTCCCGCCCTTTCCTCGAGGGAGCGAGCGGTGGCCACTTTTCCCGGCATCATTGCGCAGAAAGTCATATTGTTAAATGGAACATAATGGGGCATAACGTTCCACTTCCATTTCGTATACAACGTGATAACGTAAAAGTTTGAGTGTAAAATAGATAGGGTAGGCTGTCGTATCGGTGAGTTATCGGGAAATATTATTAAATATAGAGTCGTACGAACACATCTTTATTATTCCCTGATGCTACAAATTTTCTTATTGCCGTTTTCTCCACGATGAAGCTTGAAAAAACACTTATTCAAGAATTCCTATTTACACACGAACCATTGTGTAAAACACATGTAGAGATACGATTTAAGAAAAATACCGGTCTTTAAAGATAAAGTTGAAAGATAGAGAAGAGATGGATATTAAAATTAAAATGATTTAAAAGTCCCAGTTTTAACGTTAATCCGATTTTAAAATTATTCTACTTCTGAGAATTATATATAATATCATATATGTGAAACATTAACGAGTATGCATGAATTTTGCAAGGTGAAACTGTTCGTAAATAACACACATCGCATTTTTGCACAGCCCCAGAACACCCCATCGATCGGTGGCCTCCAAAGAGAAAAAAAATCACTCAACGATTAAATCAATTTTATTGTCGCCATTACTTTGTTACGGTGAAAGTATCCATTTTTCTCGGGGCAAGTCGGGGTTCTGGAGGGCCAATAAAATCCCCGATGGAAACGCACACGGGCATAGCCAGCATAGCAAAAGCTGGTCCATGATCTCGGTATGAAAAAGTCACGCCCCGTTGCCGGGTACGGCCAAGTCACTTTATCTGCCCCATGCAGCCGTCTAGATGGGAGTCATCAAGACGTACAAGTTCAGCCCCGGTGGGCTGATAACAAGATGAACTTTCGGCCACTCCGCCAGATAGTTGGAATGATACATAGATCATTAGGGCTGGGCGGTCGGTTATCGTCACTTATCATCGCTTCGCTCACTCGCTCGCTCTGATAATCCCGTCTCTCTCCTTCATGCTCGTTCGCCACGCTCGTCGGCTTACGCGAGTATATCGCGGCCCAACTCTCTCATCGCGATCAAGCGGACGGAAATTTCACGAAGACGAGTAATCGCGAGAATGACGCTCAGGTAGAAGTGCTATATAGTTCGGCAAAATGCCTCATCTGCAAAACCTGCTCGTTCGCAGGTGAGCTTATTCCGCTGCGGACAAGACTCGTCGACATGATTCCG